CTACCAGGCCCCCATCTCCAGCAAAAAAAAGCAAACAAACATAAAACAAACAAAAAAAGACAGTATTTACAAATGAACTTGTCTCTCATTGGGGCGGCTCTGGGCGTCTGGGTAGTAGGCGGGTAAGCCTGCGCCCGCAGGGTTGTGTGCAGGAGCGGGAGCTCAGGCTCCTGAAACTGGGGGGAGGGTGCCTTGTCTGGGGGAGGCGCCTTGGCTTCAGGGAGGGTGCCTTGGCTGTGGAAAAGGCAGGAGAGAGTCTGACGGGAAGAAGACCATGGAGGAGGAGGAGAAGTGGGGGGGTCTCAGAGGGGGAGGGGGAGGGAGGCGCAGTGGGGGGGTGTTGGCTTCATGCTGTTACTAGTTTGATTTATCCCTAATGAGTTCTCAGCACATGGCTGCTCCCGGCTCACTCCAGGGGCCAGCCGGCCCGCCCCGACTCTGCAGCAACAGCAGCAGCTCGCTCAGAAAAGAGCCAATTTCCACACTGCACAGTCCGCTTCACTCAGGGGGAAATCACATTTTCCCGGGAGAGCCGCAGGCGGCGCTTCCCTCCACAGCCTGGCCGGCTGCCACGGGGCACAGATGCCAAGGAGCCAGGGCCCCCACCTCCCCTTCTCTCCCCATCCAAAGCCCCTCTTGCTGCCTTCCAGGAGGCCTGAGTCCTTTCACCGTGCGCCTTAGCCCCTGCTGCTTCTCAAGGATAGGGGAAAGAGTGAGGTCAGGGGAAGGAGAGACCTGTCTGCCCTGCCTGCCTGCTCCAGCTTCTTCCAGGAAAGATAACTAGGCACCCTCCTTCTCTCTGAAGGGCATGGAGATGTGGGGATGGGGTTGATGACAGTGGTGTGTGCCTGTGAGAGTGGGGACTCGTGGGGACAGGTGTCTGCCACCCAGGAGGTAAAGATCTCCAGCGTCTGTGTCCCAGTGGTCCCCAAAGAGCCATGGGAGCTGTAGACAGTAATGAGAAGAGCAAGAAGCCAAGGAGAGGGCCATGGGGCAAGGGCGATAGGGAGAGGACAAAGGGGAGAGGGAGATGGGGAGAGGGAGAAGAGGGGAGGGTGATGGGGAGAGGGAGAAGGTGATAGCGAGAGGGCACTGGAGAGAGGGAGGAGGGATGCTTCCTGGCATTTCATGAGCACGGTCAGGGACTCCAAGCTCTCCCCAAACATTCCCTTTCTCTTTCCCTCATTCATAGCCCTGGAGACACAAATGTCTCTGGAACAGTAGGGAAAGGAATAATTGCTGTAGACTCAGCAGAAAAGGAAAAAGACTAGAAAACTAAAAGAAGTGAACAAAGGAAGGAGATAGAGGTGAGAGAGGGAGTTTCCTCCATGAGAACCATAGCCACGGTGGCTTGGCCACTTGGCATCAGAAGGTAGCACAGCAGCCTGGGGCAGAGGAGCCACCAGCTCCTTTATGGAACATGGAAGGCTTTATGACCCTAAAGGTTAGAGAGGGGCTGCCAAAGGGCACCCGGAAGGGAGATTTAGGGCCAAGGATGGAGGGAAGTCTGAGATCAGCCTGGCACCGCCCTGCCTGGCCCCAGTGCTTCTTCTGTTGAGCTCTGGGCCTTGTCCAGTCACGCTTTGCAGGGAGGGGCAGCAGAAGTCACTGTGCCCCAACTGGCCAAGTGACTTCTGCTCCTCCCTGCAACTCAAGGGGTGTCTGAGGTCTCTCAGAAGCCTGGCCATGTCCAGATAATCTGAGGCCTGATGATAGGATGCAGATTAGACCTTGGGTTAGGGGTCAGGCTGTGGTCCCGGCTCCTCTGTGACTCGCTGAATGACCTTGAAAAAGTCAAGGTCAAGTTATCTGTTGGTCTCAGATTCCCCAAGTGCAAAACAAAAGAGGCCAATGTTCAAAATCAGAGATGTAAATAGATATGAATGGGCTTTGTATGGAAAAAGAAACTAAGCCTGTGTAGAGGGTTATTATCACTTCTGAGGCTGAGGCAGGGCAGAGATGCTGTTAAGCTGTGGGTGCAGGAGCTGCCTGTGAGGGAGCTCAAACCCCGCCCCGGCCTCCCTCAGCCTTGATTGACGGGGCTGACGCTGACGCCCAGGCCCAGTAATAATGGCATTGAGGTCTGCAGTCCTCTTCCTCTGGTGCCCACCCCCAAAGGACAAGGAAGTGTGAATTATCTTAAAGAAGCCTCATGGTTTTTTTTTTGTTTGTTTGTTTTTTTGAGACAGAGTCTCGCTCTGTCACCCAGACTAGAGCGCAGTGGCATGATCTCGGCTCACTGCAACCTCCGCCTCCTGGGTTCTCCTGCCTCAGCCTCCTGAGTAGCTGGGATTACAGGCATGTGCCAGTATGCCTGGCTAATTTTTGTATTTTTAGTAGAGACGAGTTTCATCATGTTGGCCAGACTGGTCTCAGACTCCTGACCTCGTGATCCACGCGCCTCAGCCTCCCAAAGTGCTGGGATTACAGGCGTGAGCCACAGTGCCCAGCCAGGAAGCCTCATGTTGATATGGTTGGGGAAGGTGTGTGTATTTTGAGTGGTAGAAGTGGGAGGATGGTGAGGGCAGGTGGGAGAGGGGAGATTTTAGCAAGAGCCTCACCCTCTCTGTCTTTCTGTTTCTATTGGGAGGCTCCTGCTTCCACTTCCAGTAGGTTTCACCAACTCCTCTTGCCTGAAGTTGTCACCAATGTTGAGTGTGTGTTTGGCACAGAGGGCAGAAGATACATATTTCTTAGCCACAACTCATGGCAAGGATATTGGAGAAGTGAGAGATGATGTGACAAGGGGAGGGGTTGGAAGTAGCCTGGGGGCTGACTTTGTAGGTGACGACTCCCAGTTCCACCGTCTCTACTCCTGGAACTTTCTGGTAGAGGGTACAGGTCAGAGCAATTCTGTTCATCTGGTGGGCCCCAGGCAGGGTTCCAGCTGCCCCCTTTCCCAGCAAGAAACCCACTGCCCTGCCAGGGTGGGTTGGTCCACATGAATTTCCTGCGAGCTCCTAGCACCCTGGGCTGGCCTGGTCTGTGCTAGAACCTGAGGAGGAGGAGTGAGGGTAATGGACCAGGGAGAAATTAAGAGTAGCCTGCCTGGGAAGCTCAGGTGGTCTCTCTACATGAGCAGTGAAAGGGATTATTCCAGGCGGAAGGGATAGACCCTCAGTGCTCTCAATGCCTCAGGAATGTTTTGGGCCCATGCCTCATCCCCAGTTCTCCTACCAACACACATACCACGCCCAGAGAACCCCCGGCTCCCCTGTACCATAAAGCAATTTCCCTTCACCTGCGACCACTCACAGATGTTGCCCTCACTCCCCCAGGTGAAACTGGCCACTGGGCCAACCCACAAAGCCCCCTACGTGTCCTCCCTGTCCTTGTCATCACGCCCTTCTTCACTGTGTCCCCCCATGTGCCAGCCTGAGTTCTCCCAACACCACCCCAAATGCTGGGGCACTTCGAATTGTCTTTCTTTCACCCAATACATAAATGGCCCTATTTTCTGAGCCCGAAAAGGGGACCCATGGTTTGACCATGGGCAGAATATTGGATAGGTACTAGCCAAGGCCCGCTACATGGGGAGCACATCCCCCAGTCACCAAACACCCGCTCTGAGCACAGGTTCCTGGCAAGCCCAGCTCACCTCAGGGAAAGAAAGGCAAGTTTTAAACCATGGTCACCTTAGCCAAAGCACAGCCTAAGCCCCTTTGTTGGTTGTGAGTCGGAAAGGTCCTGATGGGTGTACAGAGTGTCCCCAGAGGGGCTGTGGCTGTAAATGCAAGGGATGGCTCTACGGGCTCCTTCAGATGCTGTACATCTCAAAGTGATTTGTGGGTAGGGAGCACTCGGGATCCCAGGGGTTTGAGGTCAGGAAGACTCTCAGATATCATGGATTCAGAGTCGCGCTACAGAGGGAAGTCCTGCCATTGAGAAAAGAGCCACATCTCAGATCCCCTCAGAAGAGATGGATTTTCTTCCTGGGAGGGCTCCCCCCTGCCATGTCATCCATGGCAGCATCCCTAACCTCCCTTTGGGAGGCCTAAGGAGGTAAGAGCCCTGTCTCCCAGCCTCTGTCCTCCCAGCCCTGGAATCCCTGGGCCCCTTCCATCGGACTCAATCCCAGTGCTGTCTGTCCAGCTGTCCACATTCACCTGGGCATCCCAGCTGCAGGCCCCTGCCCCCTTGTTCCAGCTGGGTCTCACATGGAGAGGGTCCATGTGGATACCAGACAGCCCCCTGGAGTGCAGAGCCCAAGCTGTCACACTGCATTTCCCAAATTTCCTGGAGGGGGTTGGCCTAAAGTCCTAAGTTTCTATAGCCTCCCTCACCTTGTCCTGGCCCCACCACACTGTACCTCTCCATTCAGTCAGGTCAAATCTTAAGCAAATCAAAAGAAATCAAATCCCCAGTGGCAGCCCCAGAACCTCCACTGGGTCTAGAACCCTTTGGCATCCCTGATGAGGACCCTGGGGTTTTGGGTACAAGTGTTGGGCTTAGAGTAAGAGGACTTGGTTGAATCTACTACTTCTTATCTTTGGCAAGTCATTTCATTTTTTTCAAAGCCTCAGTTTCCTCATATGTAAAAGGAAGCTGTGTGTAAAACAGGGCTAATTTCAACTTAACTTATATGAAGCCCTCCATATTGTGCCTTGCACACAAGAGAGCCCAGTCTTCTCTCTTCCTTCAGAGCTGTTTATGCAAGCTGTAGTCATAGCTATTCCCAGATCCTTCACTAACCCACCCTGCTGATTCTCTGGCTTCCTGTTAATAATAACAGCACTCCTTGCGGGGAGTCTATGGCTGGCTTGACACTGTGCTATCCTTGCATTTACTCAGTGTCGAATAACTTGGGATGAGTGAGGTACCCAGCATTCAACATGAATTAAAGGCAGAGGGAGAAGGCCAAGCCAGAGCTGTGGGGCACTAGATGGTCCCTTCCAACCCATGGCCCCAAAGTGAGTTTGTCGGCTACTCAGCTCTGATGTTCTTGGGAGAAAGCCCAGCCCCAAGGTGCCTCCTTCCCCAGGCAACCCCAAAGCCTGAGATGAAGAGCAATGGTTTATTGAGTCATGTGGTAATGGCAGGTTGTCTTTTAAAAAAAGAAAGAAGCATCAAGGAGAGAAGCCCCACATGGCAAAGAGAGACATTTCACTCAGAGGCCAAAGTCTGGGGGTGGAAAGAAGGAAGCTTGACCCAAACAAAGTTTCATTTACAGTATATACAGTCAGGCCTTGGGGGCAGGAGCTGCTGGGGAGCAGAGAGGGACCCTGTATTGTTGGCTTCAGGGGGTGCCTTGGGTCTCTTCAGTAGCTGGTGGGCGTGAGCTGCAGGAAGCACACTGGGCTTGGCAGGAGCTGTCGGGAAGGGGAAGCGAGTTTCCTGCAATTCTGCCTTGCTCTGCCCTGGGTGAAGCCGCACACCACGCCTCACCTCCCAGGCACCCAGGCCCTGTGGAATGTCTGTTTTAAGCTGCCTGGGGCTGGTCCAGCTGATGGCAGCTGCAAAGGGGATGCCCCACTGCAGGAGGACCTGGGGTGGTGCTGTACCTTCACAGCAGCAGGCAAAAGAAGTCAGCTGACAGCCTGGTGGAATTTCTGAGGGACTCGCCCCAGCCTTCAGCCAGCCCATGCCCAAGAGGGAGGTGTAGAAAGAGCCAAGCAAATGATGTGGAGAAAGAGGACAGTTAGAGCCTCCGTGTGGGGCAGGCGGGAGGCTGAGGGAGGTGACTACTCCCTGGGTGGCTGGTGAGGAGAGCCTCAGCACCAGGCTGTGACTTGTGGGCTGGAGGGAAGTGCTTACGGTCCATAATTGCTAGAGTTGTGTTAATAATGGAGCCATGGAGGTGCCCTGTGTACCCCTTGGGCCCAGGCAGGAACCATTCGCCATCCCCCCAAGTTCCTTGGCTATTCCTTCTTCTCTCCTTTGGTGGGTACCAGCTGGGGGCTACGTTTCTTCTTCAATTTTGTCTTTTTCAGCATGGCATGGTTCTCTTTCCCTGGGACTCCTGCCCCTCATTAAGGAGTCTCGGAGGACAGTTTGGCCTTCTCCAAGGTCATCCTGTCTTTCATGGTTCATTAAATTAACCACACAGGGAGTGTGCCGCAATGCTGGACTTGTGGTTATTTTTCATGTAATAAATAAAGATCCTTTGTGTGACTCTCTGGGGCCTGTCCCAGGCCGAGTCCTCCTGTTGCTCAGTCGCTCCCACTGTCCCCATGGTAACTACAGATGGTCAAAGGCCGTGGCAGTGGTGGGCGGTGCGCTCGGCCTTGATGTGGAACTGTAATAATATGGGGAACCTGGACACATTAAAAAAAAATAACAACAACACTGCTGGTCAGAAAGGAAAATTGCACCATAGCCTTCCCTGCATCTGCTGACCTTTAAGACAACACAAGTTAATCATTCATTTCTCTGGCCTATCTGATCATCAAAGATTAACTCCTCTCCAGCCCTATTTCCTCCTTCTCTGGCCTCACCTTTGAGTTTCTGGCCAGAATGAGAACAGTGGCTTCTTGCCCCTTCCCCCTATGGCTGCTCTGACCTTCAACACCCTCGTTGCAGGGAGAGGGCAATAGAAAACAATTGCATGTGGAACCCCAAAGAATTAAGTGCACTGAGGGGTCATCGGGATCCTCCCTAGCCTTGCCCAAACAGTGCCAGGACAGAGAGCCTTCTCTCTTAAGACCCAGGGAGATTAGACTGCTGCGGGGTTAAAGGGGATCTGGGCTTGACGGCCCTTAAGGTGAGGCTCTGCACACCTGCAGGATGGGCAGCCTGGGGAGGCTCAGTGGGAAGGTGCCTGAACCCTGGTATGTCTCATTGCCCTCATCTTTTCTGGTTAAGTTGAATGGAAAGGTGGGTTGGAGTTGAACTCATCTGGCAAACAGGGCCCAGGTCTGCCCCCTTTCAAGTTATTTCTGGAATACAAGGAGGTAATGGGAAGAGTGGGGGTCTCGGGGAATGGATGGTTCCCAGCCTGCAATGGTGCCTGTGGGGTCGGCCATCCTTGGGTCACTGCTTCTGTCTAGCTCAGGTTTGCTCTGATACCCCCAAGGCCACCACTGAGAGAGGCTCTATTGGGATCCCTCCAGTCCCCATTGGTGGGGTTTTGCTTTGCTGGAAAGCTTATCCTCCCAGTCCAGGACTCCAGGACAAGAGAGGGGTGAAGAGAAGCCTGAAAGCTCACTGCAGCTCACTCTCTGGACTTTGACCCTGAATACTGCCAGCATCTCAGGCTAAATATGGGGAATGTGGTGGAACAAAGGATTTCTGTGTAAGGGTTTGGTGCTGAATCATGAGTATTTCGGAGCCACTTAGATGGTTAATGGGGGCAACAGGATGGCATTCTTGAAATCGGCTCCCAGGAAGGAGAGCAGTTGCATTCTGGCAGGGTGCCCGGCGTCAGTGTCTGCACTGTGGGACTGTAAGCCGCGGAGGCAGGAGGTCCTCTCTTAGGCTTTTCTCAAGTCCTCCCCTGCCCTCCCCTTCAAGGCCTGAGCCCTGAATCTTACACAAAACAAAGATTGAAAAGACACGGCCTTAAGAAGCAGGAGGGAAACCAATGCCTGGGAGCCTCTGGACTTCCGCCCTCTTTCCCCAAACCACCAGGTACACTGCCCTCCTGCTGCCTTCTTCCATTACAAACACCACCACCTCCCAGGCTGTCTGTATAATCTGAGGCCTCCCAGCTTTCAGGTAACCTTTGACCCACCCTTGCCCCCCACCACACCATCCATCCTGCCCAGCAAAGGCCTGGGCGGCCCCAGGGACTTACTCAGCAAGCTGGAGTTGGGGAAGCGCCAGGCCTCGCTGTAGGAGGAGTAGGGGGTGTGGCCATAGGCATTGCCAGAGTATTCACTTCCTGTTGGAGGCACACAGGGGAGAGGCCTGTGAGGTGAAGGGCACCAGTGCAGGGCTGGGGTGCGGGGAGGTCTGCAGGGCTGGCAACGGGCAAGCTCAGGAATGGTGGGGGAGACAGTTGGAGCCATGGCAGGGACAGTGGAGATCAGAAGGTCCCTCTATCACCCCTTTTGAAACCCATCGGTCTGGATAATTTGGGGCAGTGTCCTTTTCCGTAGGTACTGGAGGCACTGGTTTGACACACTACAGCCCTCCCAGGAGGCCCAGAAGGTAGATGTTATAACTATCCCCATTTTCCAGATGAAGAAACTGAGGCTCTGGGATCTGCGGAAGCTCCCAGAGCTGGAGGGTTTGGTGGAGTTAGGAAACTGTGCTGTGACTCTAGGGCCCAGGGACTAACTGCTCCTTCTGCTGCCTGGACCTTCTGCCGAAGGGCTCTTCTGGGAGGGCCCCACAGCAGGGGCATGGGGTTAGGCGCCAAAGAGGAAATCTGTATATATGAACCTTTTCGCCTCCGTAGGTATGAGTGTGTGTGTATGCACGGGGGGCTGAGGGGAGGTGTGAGGGTTAAGGGTGGGACAGGAGGGAGAGACCCAGAGGGCACCCACCTCCCGGGAAGCTGCGTCCTGGGACTTGGAGTAGTTTGTTGTTCCATCCTGAGTCTGCCACTTTAAGCAAACTCAATGTATACATTTACACAAAGTAAATCAGATCACCTCCTTCTAGTAATAGATTCTTGACTTTTCCAAAGGAATTATTTACAGATGAAATTAGTTAAGAATTCCCTGACATAACAAAAACAAAGTCAAGCTGACCACCACAGCCACTACCGGTGCTTGGTGTAGAGCTTAAAGTTTGTAAAGCACTTTCCCACACATTATGATCTTTTATTCTCACGACTACCCTATGAGGTACTCATGGATACCAATTTATAGAAAAGGAAACTGGAGTGCAGCATGATTAAGTAGTTTGCCTCAAATCACATTGTTGTTAAATGTCAGAGTAGAACTCGACCTTAGGGCTCTTGACTCTAAATTGCAGATAATCCCTTTATTCACTTACAAGATAATTCCATTTACAAAGCTAGATTCCTGCCAATCCTGAGACTCAATGAATTTCCACCCAGCCTTTCAGAAACTCACCTACGATTGTGAGCTGATTGTGAGCTACGTGGTTCTGAGTTTGCTTCTCAGACTCTCTGGACGGGTTGCTTGAAACTCCCTGAGTCTGGAATTGACCTGTCTAGAGTCAAATTCTTACTTCCCATTTCCTGGTTCTGTAACCTTGGACAAATCACTTAGCCTCTCTGAATGAGTGACTTACAGGTGAGCCTTGGTTTCCTCATCTATAAAGTGGGCCAAATAATTATTCCTATCTCATTTGGTTTAACAAGAATTAAATGAGAAAATATGTATTAAATGCTTAGCACCATGCTTCAAATATATAGGGAGCGCTCAATAAATGTAAGCTTTTATTATTTTCCCATTAAACAGGTGCGAAAATAAAGCTCAATGAAGGCTTAAATCAGTCATTCAACCAGTCTTACGGCCTGGGTTGGGGTTAGTGGGAGCTGCTTTATTGCCAGACAAGTAGGCGTTTATACAGGAAGAAGAGAGATGAAGAGGAGGAGCCTGAAGCAGAGAAAGGCTACTGGATCCTTTCCTTGTCTAGGAAGTCAATGACAGATAAGAACACAGTAAGAAAGTTCCTTAGGGGCAGAGACTAAGTCTAATGTAAATCAAGCAAAAAATATGGGTAAAAAAAAGAAGGGGGTAAAGAAGTAAAAAGCAAAGCAAAAACAAAAAACAAAAAACAAAAAATACCCTAAGAAATAATTGAATCTAAACCTCTATTTAACAGATGAAAAACTAAGAAATAATCTACTCTAAACATCTATTTAACAGATAACACATCTGTTACATAGGGAAGTAAAGACATTTGGCCAAGGCCACGTGTTCAGTGAAAGCCTGAACTAGAATCCTGGCCCCGTCCTTCCACACTGGTGCTCTCTCTTGCATCTCCCAGTGCCAAGTGCCCTCTGTTTAGCCCAGGTCTCCCGGGTTTCAGCCAATTCTCTATTGGCCACATAGCAAGGGCCCTAGCACCTTTTACCACACCCTACCCAATGGCAAACACAGCAAGCTCTAAAGGACAAGGGAGAGAGGTGGAAAACACAATGTGTTTACCCTCTCATTTTGTCACTCATTCATGCATTCACTCACTCATCCACTTATTTATGTATTTAACTACCATTTACCAAGTATCTCAGTCACATGGAACCTGGGGCAGGGGATGAGGCTCGGTAGGTGGTACACACCTAGGTGTGGCATCTTCCTGTCACCAGATGTGCCTACCTGCCTGCAGTCACAGCAGATGAAACGTCTCCGCCCCAATGAAAGGCCAACCCTGCCTCTTTGCTCTGCATTCTACCCTACTCACCTTTCCAAGGATTTGGCCGCTCCAACGATCCCATTTTCTGTTTCATCAGTCTCTCCCTTCACCCTGCAAACATACTCTGCTATCTTCTGTCTTTAAAAAATCCCCTTCCTATCCCCACATTCCTCTCTAGTTACCAGTGCCTTTCTCTGCCCCATGGTCTCTGCCTTCATCTTCTTATCCCTTCCCATCAGGCCAACTCTGATCCCCTCAAGTCCCCACAGTCTCTAACTCCATCATACCAACGGTCGCTTCTATATCCACAATTCCCTTGACCGTTTAACTCATCTCTCTCTCCATGCCTTTGGGTTTGTGATGACGAGTCTTCTGTTTGCTTTGTAACTCAGTTGTCTTTCCTACTCATTCTCCTTGCTGTTCCTTCTCTGTTGAGCTCTAAATTGTTGAAGAACCCCAGGCTTGCTTTCTAGTAGTCTTATCATTAAATGACAGCTTTGTGCAATGGCTGAAATTTATACTCCAGTCAGGATTCTTTCCTGGCTTCAGACATACATGATATACCTACAAACTTATTATAAAACTAGGTATTTAGTAGGCATCTCAATCCTAACATGGCCCAAAAAACTCTTGATTTCCACTTGCCATCTACTACATCACTTCCCCTCCTGGTCTCCCATATATATACTTGCCACCATCATCCATGCCCCAAACCTACAAATGATCCTTGTTTCCTCTATTTTCTCATCCCGACAGCCAATCCACCAGCAAGGTTTGCTGGCTTTGCAGCCAAAATATATTTTCAGGGTCTCTTTTTTCCTCCTTCACTGCTAATTCCCTAGCTCAAGCCACTGTCATCTCTTGCAAGTACTGAAACTGTCTCCTAACTGGTCTGTGCTTTCTCTCTTGACTGTGTACAATTCATTTTCCTAGAAATCAGAGTCGCCTTTTCAAACTTGACCCAGCCACTACCAATTACTTGCTACCATGCTAAACTAGTTCCTGCCTTAGGCCCTTTGCACTTGCTGTTCTTTGGGCCAGGGATGGTCTGCCCCAGTTTATCACTTGGATGGTCACTTTGAACACCTTCTCAGAGAAGTCTCCCCTGACAACCCAATCTAAAGTAGTTATCTCCTCTCCCTGTGGCTCTTTATTACATCATCCCGTTTTATTGTCTTCACAGACAATAAATTATTATGTTTATTCATTCGTTGACTTATTTACTGTCCATTTCTCTTCACCATTAGGTTATAAGCTCCAGCAATAAAGGAATCTGACTTATTCACTGTTGTATCCCCAGCATCCCATACAGTAGACCTTCAACCAGTATTTGTTAAGTGAAAAAGTGGTGAATGAATGGATGGAAGTACACAAGGATGAATGAAAGTGTGAATGATGGAAGGATGGATGGGTGGAAAGATGGATGGAAAGACAGATAGATAAAAGGATATATGTATAGAAAGATGGATAGATTAATGGAGGAATAGATTGAAAAGGGGATGAAAGATGGATGTATGAGAGGATGGATGGCTGGAAGAATGGATGATGAAAGGATGGATGGAAAGATAGATTAAAGGATAGTTCTGTGAAAAGATGAATGGATGAATGAATATGGATGGAAAAATAAAAGGATTGATGGAAAGATGGATGGATGGAAAGATGGATGATAGATAACTGGAAAGACAGATGAATTAAAAGATGGATGGAGGGGCCAGGCACGGTGGCTCATACCTGTAATCCTAGCACTTTGGGAGGCAAAGGTGGGCAGATTTCCTGAGGCCAGGAGTTTGAGACCAGCTTGGCCAACATGGTGAAACCCTGTCTCTACTAAAAATAAAAAAATTAGCCAGGCATGATGGCAGGTCCCTGTAGTCCCAGCTACTGGGGGAGGGGCGGGGGGCTGAGGCAAGAGAATCGCTTGAACCTAGGAGGCAGAGGTTACAGTGAGATAAGATCACGCCACTACACTCCAGCCTGGGCAACAGAGCAAGACTTTGTCTCCAAAAAAAAAAAAAAAAAAAAAAAAAAAGATGGATGGAAAGATGGAAGGATTGGTGGAAAGGTAGAGGATGACAGGATGGATAACGAAAGTTGGAAGGATAGATGTGGAAAAATGTATGGGAAGATGAATGAGTGGAAAGATAGATGATTGGATGGATCCATATATCTGGAGCTGCTGGTTCTGCTCTAGAACTGGTTGAGAATCATCGACTGTTAACGGAGTCAGAACAAAAAATAAAATAAAATAAAATAAAATAAAACAAAACAAAATAAAAGAGAAACAGAAGGTGAATAGACAAGGGAAATCTGTCCTAGCCCTTTTCCTGTCCTCCTCTCTTGTAGCCTATGTCTTTATTTCTGGTATGGTAGGAGGCAGTATGGTGTAGTGGAAAGAGCCTTAGACGTGAAATTGAAAAACCCGTGTTTGCACAACTCAGCCACTGAGTATGATTATGACCCTGAGCACACCACTTTGCTTTTGCTTCAGTTTCCTTATCCATAAAACTGGGATAGTATTAGCCTCTCAGTCTTCTGGTCAGGGTAAAATTAGAAATAAAGTTATACATATTTGAATGGCTACACATGCAGAAGTACATAATAAGTGATCCTTCCTTTCATAATCGATTGAAGAATGTCTTTGGCATGCCTTGCTTTAAGCATTTATCATGTACCTAACATGCATGCAGTAAGTGCTCGATGAAAGTTTATCCACTTTAATTGCAGGAATCTCCATTCGATCAACTGGGAGATTGCAGGTGGTGGTAAGAGATGGACATATAATTTTTCCACAAAAAAAATTCCTTAAGAATTCATTTGCGCAATGCTATCCCTAGGAACCAAGTGATTCATTTAAATAGTGTTGCATTTTCTAAAAACTGATTTTCATGGAACTCACTGGGAGCCCAACTGTGTGGGACAAGGTCCCTCCTTTGTGGATTTTACTTGCAGTCAGTGTCCTAGTTGTGCTTTTTTTTTTTTTTTTTTCTTTTTCACAGCACCCACTCAGGATTCTTTCTGGAAACAACCTGGGGGACTTTGATGAGAGGCCCAAGCCTGCCAGCTACCTCACAGGTCAGACTCTGGGCCCCAGAAACCCCATGCCCTGGGCCTGCCCTCAGGGAATGATTCATAATTAAGAGAAAAGCCTTGTGCTTTATGTTTCTTCCTCCTCCTCTAAGCAGGCGGCAGGGGAAGGTGGAGGGGTTGGAAGGGGAATGGGGGGAGCCGACTGGAGCCTGGGATTTTGATTGAGAGGCCCCATTATCCACACTCTTAAAAAAATAACCGAATCTTTTCCTTTTTTATCTTGACCAATCTCATTTCACGCTCCAGAAGAGGAAGGGAGGGAGGGAGGGAGTCCGGGGCCAGGAGGGAGAGAGGAGTCAGTATTCTGTATTTTCAACGCTGCATTAAGCACATCGCCACGGTAACCAGGCAGCAACAAGTGCCAGCTCAGCAGGTTCCCAGGGAGCACAGAGCCTTTTTCCCTCCTCCTTTCTCTCCCTCCCTTCCCTCTGCCCAGGAGATCCCAGCCCACCTGCCTCTGCATAGGGTGCCCAGAGTGGGTGGCTGGCAAAGATTAACTCCTGCCGGCAAGGAAGGGAAGCAGGCCTAGGTAAATATGCCAAGTCTCTGGGGTCAGAGCCAGAGAGGCTGGCCTAGGGCTGGCATGGGGGTCACAGATGCCTTGTGTTCAGACCTCTTTCCAGAAATTCCAGGTCCCAGGCCTTTTTGACCAGTGAAAATGGCTCAATTATGTCTCATCCATCCCAAAGTCTTTCCTATACAGCTCCTAAACCATTGAGACTTGCCCAAGGAAACTCCCATTATCTTCGTTTGTTCAGATCTTGTCACCTTGAATCATCATTGGATGATGACTGGCAGACAAAGAAACCCAAATGACTGGCAGGCAGGTTCCAGGACGGTTCAAATGAGGATGGAGAGCTACTCCAGGCTCGTTTTATCCTCTATAGTACTCTTAGAGTACCTAGAACCGGGGTCCTATCCATGCAGGGTTGAGAGAAAGTGAGATGTGAAGCATATATTTCATCATCATGGTCATCATCATCATCATTATCATCATCATCAATACCCTTCCGATTCAGATTTTACAGAAGGGGAAAACGGATTCATCAGAGTTAAATCACCAGGAGACCAGCACTGCTTGAGGGTAGGGCTCATCTTCCACTCACAGCGTTTTGGGGCCCTTGAACTGCTCTCCATTTATGCTCACTGATTCACTGGAAGAAGTGGTGGAGCTTGGATTTGAACACAGGTCTGTCTCAGCCCCTCCCTTTTCATCATGGAGGGTAATGTGGCAGGCCTGGGAAGAAGGAGGCCGAGCTGGGGCGAGTTAAACAGGGAGTCAGGACTGCACTGGGATATTGTCTCCAGGCATTTACAAGATGCCCCCTTTGGTCCATCCTTCAATGCCCTTCGGGAAGTCTATGAATAGGGCACAGAATGCCTCTTGCCCCTCGTGTCCCACCTTGCTCCAATACTTCCTCTGTGCAGTGCTCCCCTCCCTGCCAGCCCTCTCCTTACCTGCCACCATGCCTGCGATGGCAGAGGAGGCATAGCTGCCCTGTCCGCTGGTGGGGATGTGGGGTGGGTATCCGGGCAGCGTGGGCCCCACCATCTCTCGCCCTGGAAAAATACAGCAAAGAGTCATCAGTTGGACCGTAGGGGCTCCCATATGTATCATCTCACTCTCCTGAGGCTGTCTTCCCCCATGCCATTCCCACCCACTCTACAGTCATTCTCCAAACCCACTTCCTCCTGCCCCCTCCTCTTGTAAGCCCAAGTTCTTGTCACCTCTGTCTGGTCTTCTGCAGGACAGAGGCTCCACCATGCAGGGAGCACTTGTTACTGCAGTCTCACACTGTTCCCTGTTCTCCAGTGGTTTTGTTTACGTGATTGTTATCTTATTAATCCACAAGAATGTCCTGGTATTGAAGGCTGAGGCTATGTCATCTGTTCTTTGTTATCCCCGACAGCAGCCTGCAGAGCAGTGGGTACAGCTGGCCTCCATAAATACATTTGAAGCCACTTGACTCTGAGCTCATCCCTTTCATTCCTGGCTCTGAGGAGTACCAAGAATAAGACCCTATGAAGGGATGGCATGTATGTGGCCCACTAACTCATCACTATTTTTTGGGGGGAGCCTGTGATAGACATTGCTAATCAACCACTAAACCATTTCCCACTGAGTAGAGGGGGCCTTCCAAGTGGATGCAATCTATCAGAGTTGCAAGGTACAGGAAACCGATTGGCTAACCCCAACCTGTAAGGAGATGTGGCTGAGATATTTCACTTTTACATGACCATGAGCCACATATCTGTCAATTCTATTTTGAAAAGAACCATTTTTAGCAAAACAGACACCAATCTCTCTGTTTCTCTATGGCTTGTGGGTCATACTCCAACCTTGGTGATACCAAATCAGCTCTGTAAAGACCTCATTTCCCAGCTCTGCTTCTCCTCTACGTTGAGAAATCACTTTCCCATTCCGGAGGCCCCACCTGACCTGGCGAGCATCTCCCCATCTACTACATACAACAATGAACATAAACATGATCCCTTGCCCCTGCCCCTCTTCTACTGCTCCTATGTCCTGCAGGCCCCAACCAGACTCTCCTTCACCCCGAGATTCTTGGCAAGGTGACAGTACACCCTGGTTTGCCAAGGTGTACCCAGGTGATGACCACTATCCCAGCATATTTATTAATTATACCTATTTCACTCTCAAAATGCTCCAATTGGAATAATGAGTTATTTGCTCATCCTCGTTCTTGGTAATATTTACAGAGTTTCTCAGTCTCAGCAATATCGGCATGTTAGGTGCACAATTCTTTGCTGCAAGAGGCTGTCCTGTGCATTGTAGGATGTTTAGCAGCATTTCTGGCCTCCATCCAGTAGATGCCAGCAGCAGTTTTCACCCAATGTGACAACAAAAATGTCTCCAGACATTACCATATGTCCTCAGCAGGAGGTAGTAGGGGCAAAATCGCTGCTGGCTAAGAACCATTATGTTGGACTATGACTGTTTTACCCAAATGCCTTCTGTCTCTTCCATTTTGGGGGCTGCTTTTTCCTCCCAAAACCTGTGTGGGTCACTGTGAGCCCCTGTTAACCAACTTACCAAATTCATCTCCTCTATGGTACTGCTTGTCCAACTTTCCGCCCATCAGTCCCCCCCAGGTCCTTCATACCTCAGCCCCTTCAAGGGGTGCCTGGTCATGACAGAAGGGAAGGAAGGTCCCATGAAATCCTGTTAAGTTGCCAATACTACAGTGACTACCTCCTCCTTATCTCTCTTTCTGGAGATTCCCCAAAGACAATGTTCATTTGCTAAATACTTCCTGAGTAAGTACTATGTTCTAGACACTTTTCTAAGCACTTGGGTGCATAGCAGAAAGCCAGAATGCTAAATTAGCAAGGCCAGGCACTAAATCAAGAAGGGACGTAGGCTGGGATAGGCATTTGGAGCCAAGCCCGAGGGGTCAATGAACAAAATCAGGCACACTCAACTTCTGCGCTTTCTCTAGAGGGAAGGGCCTGGGAATCAGAGGGCCTGGGGTCCTTATACTGCTTCTGTGGCTAGTTTTCTGAGTGCCCTTAGATAAGCCTAGTATGTGCCCCAAGTGTCAGTTTCTTCAAATGCAAAATGGGGGGGGCGGGCGGAAACCATAGCTGGAGGCACCTTATTACAATTTCTATGAGGTTATCTGTATAATTCAGAGCCAGGGTTTCATGCTACAGGTGGACATTGATTAGTGCAATGGACACATTCTAGAAATGGTTATATGCCAATGAACTCCTACAGAATAAGAGCCATCAGTGTTCATTGGTTAAAACTGTGTGAATGTTTTGGTAAACCGGAACACCACCTTCTAATTTGTCTGACTATTCCTGCAGTGTCCAGCTGTGCTTGGTGCTGGACCAAATGGGGTGAAACCCACTAGCATTCCACAGGTGGGCTCAGTTCACCTGACACAAGGTCATCAAGGGAACAAATGAAGGGTTGGAAACACAGGAGGGGAAAAGAGGATTTTAAGATATTTAGATGTAGAGGGAGAAATATGCAGAAGCTATACTGAGATAAAATCTGAGCTTTCTGTGAAGAATACAACACAATAGACCCTCAAACTCAGCCCCCTTGGCCCTGAGATAAAGCACCGGCTAGGCAAGAGGGAAGGAGTGACAGGAAGTCTGTGAGAGCAGGAGGAGCACAGGGCAGGGACAGGTGGTGAGGGAGGGAGTGATGGAAGAGGGTGGCAGATTCAGGCCTGCTTCCTTCTTTTCTCTTCCCTCCCTACCTCCTCTGAGAGAGAGAGAGAGAGAGAGAGAGAGAGAGAGAGAGAGAGAACTCTAGATCCAGGCCGGACCCTGGATGAAAGGTAGCCACTTAATTCTCTGAACCACATCTTCCTGCCTGTCACATAAGGAACTAGTTTAGATTTCAGCTTGTAAATTGGATTCACCTGACTACTTGATTGGCTGGTAGGGGCTTCCTGGCACCCAGTGTTGAGAAGGATTCTGAGGCAGCTTGTGTCTGCCATGATCAGGGTGGGGAGCAGTGGGAAGTGGTCTTGGCTCTCAGGTCACCTGTTTGCTGGTGCTGGCCTCGTGCCCTGCAGGGCTGCTTCTGGCCTGGCAGACTGCGGCCCCGTGCTCCCCCTCTCCCCGCCCTCATCCTGAACCTACTGCCTCTCGAGCCTAGCAGAGTAGCAGGCAGAGTTCCAGAGCATATACTCCCCTTACAACACAACTTAATGTGGTCCACAGGTGCCCCCACGGGGCTCTACCGCATAAGAAGTAGCCCCCACATTGCTCTTATAAATGAAATTCATCAGCCTCACTCCCCTGTACTCTAAGATTTTAATCTTCATCTCCCCTCAGTCACCTAATGTCTTCCCAATGGGGTAGAGGCTTCTGAATAGGACATCAGAACAGATGCCTGAGGCTTCCTCCCACGAAAGCTGGTCTGCCTGGAAAGACTAGTAAGACTTTCTTCAGCATGGCTCTCACCAAGACTGCGGCACCATAAACTTTCCCAACAGCCCTACAAAACTCTTTGCTCCAATTGCTTCAATACATAGTTCCTTCCAAAAAGCCAAGAAGCTTGCAAGCCTTCTTAGAAGCAAAACCACAGAAGCCATGGGGTGGAAACTGCATCAGGGCCTAACCGTGCCCTCTTATCTACTTCTCTGTTTTTAAGACTCTTCATCATAAAATATCCTAGCTATGAATGCCATCTCCTCTACACCCACATATCCGTCCAATGTGGTCCTATTTTTAAGAAGTTGTCAGAAAGCACAGGCCCATGTTGACTGGCTATGGAGTGGGGTTCTCTAAGAAAACTCTAGCTCCCTCCACACCTTGAAATATTGGTAAATATTCTAAATATTGGTAGAGACCAGAATCATAAAGCTGTTGCCTGGAGGAATTCGGAGGGTAGAGGTGATTTCAGACTATTTTATTTGCCCCCTTTGAAGTCTGCCCTCTATGTAACCCCTTTTCAGTTCCTTATCTCGTTCTGATAGCGAAGAGAATTTATGGCAACCCAGAAATCTCTTTGGCAGAACTAAATATAATTTTGTACAAAAGGATGGAGGAGGGGAATGGACTCTTTGATGATAAAACCTAGCTCACAGCTTTCCTTTGAGCTGAGCTGGAGTCAGTCCCAGAGCAGCTGGGACCAGGACGGCCTCGACATTGCTGTCTTGGCCAGTGTGTTGGGACTCCAGACCAGGGTTTCCAAAGGGAACTGGCGGCAATGTTAGGGGCACTCTTGCTACTCCCCAAACCCTGCTGTTTCCTCTTTCTTGGCTGACTGGGGACGAGCTGAGACTCAGAAGGATAGTCACCTTGGAAATCATACTATCAGAGCCACTGGGCCGAAAGAAGTGACCCAGAGAAAAACACTATGAAGCAGGTAAAGGAGTTGCAGGAGGCGGCAGCGAGGGTCCTTGGGAGTCACTCAGAGGGGTGCAGAAGATTGACGCAGGTTAAAGCTGAACTGACTGTGGAATGAAAACTTACTGTGTCCTCTTTCTTGGTCTGCAGCATTACCTAGGAATAATGTGGTCTCAGCTTCCTTCTCTTTCTTTTCTTTTTTTTTTTCTTTTTTGAGATGGAGTTTTGCTCTTGTTGCCCAGGCTGGAGTGCAATGGCATGATCTTGGCTCACCGCAACCTCCGCCTCCTGGGTTCAAGCAATTCTCCTGCCTCAGCCTCCCGAGTAGCTGGGATTACAGGCATATGCCACCACACCTGGCTAATTTTGTATTTTTATAGAGACAGGGTTTCTCCATGTTGGTCAGGCTCATCTTGAACTCCCGACCTCAGATGATCTGCCCACCTTGGCCTCCCAAAGTGCTGGGATTACAGGTGTGAGCCATCGGGCCCAGGCTCCTTTTCTTTCTTTCAAATTCACCTCTTCTTGGGAAGGTCTGCAGCCTCCTGTGCTCTTGGAACCATTCCCTTCCTAACCTTCCCCCACCCCGTCATGTCCTCCCAGCCCTCTCACCATGGCTCAGCCATGTGTTAGGTATTAAGGTCCAGTCTTGACCAGAGGCCTCAGGTGGACAGTCTGCAAGGAGCTCCAGACCAACACTCTGAGCTCAGCATGGACACCAGCCATCCCCTCCCTTGTGCCTGAGCCGCTTTCTGACTTGCTTCCTACTCTTGGCCATTTGCCTGGACCCCAGATCCTCCAAGCCTAGCACTCCTCACTCTTTTCAGAGCCTCTGCCTCTGTGCTCAATTGTCAACCCTTGGGCTAAGGGGCCCTGTGACCAGCCAGCACCCTTCAAAGTGCTCACACCTGCACTTCAGCATCATCTGGGCCTGGGTTGGGGGCTACCAGCCTGAAGGATATGCCGGTGCGGCATATTTGGCTGCCTGCTGCCTGCATGACCACCTGGTGTCTGCCGCCAGCTGTTTTATCCCATGGGTTGGGTGACCTCTCAGTCCTGCAGTTGGCCTAGAGAGTGGGCACGTCCACTGAATTAACAGCTGACAGTAGTTGGAGGCATCACCTCTGATTGACTGCATGTTGACAGGGGATGCTAACAGGATGACAGGGAGGGGACAAAGTGTGGGGGCTTTGGGAGTAGGGAGTTTGCCCTGGGCTGTTCCAATTACACTTTACACCACAGCCTGTGTCTGCACTGTGATACATCCATCCACTTCCAGTTGCCCTAAATCCTTCCCTCTCCTTCAGCTGGTCCTGCCAAGCCTCTCCACGGCTTGTACAGCAATTGCTCCCCATCATCATGGGCACCACCGCACCCTCACCCCTTGCCTACCCTGTGACCGCCCCCAGCCCTAGCCTGCCATTCTCAGAAGACATGCAGGCTTGTGTAACTCCCTGTAACTGACATGAGCCTCTTTTTCTCACCCCCTCCCCGCCCCTCTCTTCCCTTCCCCTCCCTTCCTCTCCACTCTCCTCACATTCCCCTCCCTCCCCTCATCCCATTTTCTCTGGCTGACATAATTTTACTGAGCTCACAGGTTTTTCTCCTGTAATCACTTTGGTCAAAACAAATGACCCATCTCTGCTGACTTCACCCTCTTGAATTCTTGAACTCCGAGTCAACATTTTATTCCTCGCTTTAGATCCTTAAACACCATCTCTCTGCCCACACGCTGGATGTCCCTCTCTTCTAAGAAAATTTCTCACATTAGGTGCAGGGATACACAGAGCGGGGGAAAAAAAAACCCGGGTGCCAGCCAGAAAGAAAATGTAGAGCCAGTTATAAAAAAGGATCCATGGGCCGGGCGCGGCGGCTCAGCACGTTGGGAGGCCAAGATGGGCAGATCATGAAGTCAGGAGATCTAGACTATCCTGGCTAACATGATGAAACCCGATCTCCACTAAAAATAAAAACAATTGGCCGGGTGTGGTGGTGCGCACCTGTAGTTCTGCTACTCGGGAGGCTGAGGCAGGAGAATCTCTTGAACCCAGGAGGCGGAGGCTGCACTGAGCTGAGATCACACCACTGCACTCCAGCCTGGGCAACAGAATGAGACTCCATCTCAAAAAAGAAGGGTCCATGGACTTGTATCACATGACCCTGTGGTAACTCTGGGCTGGCGGAGGTTTTGCTCTGTTGGTGCAGTGGTTTTCAAGTCCAAGGGCTTTCTAGGGGCAGGAACCCCCTTCTAAAAGAGCAGTTCTTCAGGGGTCTGGTGAGCATACGTGGCTTCTGTAAAAGGCTTCATTTCAAGAGAGCATTGAGAGGCCCAAATTTGAAACCACTGGTCCAGATGGACTGTCTGACTCTGGGCTGCCTCTGTGACAGGTCTCCCACGCCCCACTCCCACACTGGTCTCTGCTCTAGCATTTCAAGGTCATCAGGGTAGGAGGGTGTGGGAGGTGAGGAGGCATTTACTCTGTCACTAAATACCCACACTCCTTGGAGACAGTGCCAATATTAAAGAGATTCCTCCAATGCTGAACTGAGAGCTAGCTGGCTTCCTCCCTTGGTCCTGGGCCCCAGCTGGGCCCACATCTAAAATAGTCCTATCTCTGTGGACGCCCTTAAGGTATCTGATGACCATATGGGTCTCTGCTCCCCACTTTCACTGCACATCAGGCCCTCTCCAAGCCAAGCCAAGCACTTGACTCTTAGCCATTCCTCAGACCCTGGCTGGATGGGCGAAGGTCCTTCTGCCAGGAGACCCAGCTCCCCTTGAGGTCTGACTCATGGAGTGCAGGCCCAGGCCTCATCCAATTGCAGATGGTGCTCCCACCCAGAGACTTTGGCAGGGACCTTCTCCTCCCTGGGCCAGTTTCCTCAGCAGCACAAGAAGTTTGCTCTAGAGGCTCCCTCGGGTGCTTCCAGATTTACTTATTTTTATTTATTTTTTTCCTTTTTGAGATGGAGTCTTCCTCTGTCACCCAGGCTGGAATGCAATGACGTGACCTCAGCTCACTGCAACCTATGCCTCCTGGGTTCAAGCAATTCTCCTGCCTCACCCTCCCCAGTAGCTGGGATTACAGGTGTCTGCCACCACACCTATCTAATTTTTCGTATTTTAGTAGAGATGGGGTTTCACCATCTTGGCCAGGCTGGTCTTGAACTCTTGACCTCATGATCCACCTGCCTCAGCCTACTAAAGTGCTGGAATTACAGGCGTGAGCCACTGCACCCGGTCAGTGCTTCAGCTTTAAATATTTTGAGGCAGTTGAGGTTCCTGATGGGAGGTCCCCCACTCCTCCTCTCCCAAGTTGTTGAATCACTGAATTTATCATGTTTAACAGATGTCTGACTGTCCTCCTGGTGATGCTGTTAAGCTAGGTATGAAGATAGCTACATCATGGAAACACAACTGGGACTGACCCTTGGCCTTTTTGGAAATTTGATCCTGAAATTGGTTCCAAAAGTCAATGCCTTTTTCCCTCCAAAATGTTCATTTTTCCTTCTATTTATTTATGCATTTACCAAGACCAAGTGTTCCTATGTTACAGCACCTGGCTCCCGGCCTTAGGGTTCCTGCTTTTCCGTGGGGTCTAGGGGTGGTGTATCCCACTTTCCGGCACCCCTAGAGCATCCGCCCCTTCCGAGCATTTCTTCCCAGTCACGGAGACCCTCATGTTGGCACCTCCAAAAGTTGCCGGAGGAATTAGGGAATAGGGTGGTGGTGGACAAGATTGGGGCCAGAGAGGGGGCTGGTGGTCGGCCCTGAGGACCCCCCTCCCACCCACCGCAATGCCTGCATGGCCCCGGGACTTCCCTGTCATACCTGAGAGGAGGGCCTGGCCCGTGAACTGCCCGTACACGGAGGCAGCATGGGGAAAGGCATTGAAGGGCGGGACCGAGGCACCGGCTGGGACCCCGGAGCCGACTTGCTGCAGATCCAAAAAGGCGGAGCTAGATAAAGAGGAAGGGGTGGAGCTAGAACTGGACACCTCGGGGGTTTCCTGCTTTATGGCGAAGGGTGAATGAGGATCTGCCGGAGGGAGGGAGACAACAAGGAGAGAGGGGTGTGAGATGATGGGGCGGGAACATGCACAAACCAAGCCATGAGATGTGGAGGGTGCGGGGCGCGGGGCAGGCAGGCCCAGCTGCTCTCAGAGTCTGGGCCGGGGAGCCAGGGCCCACGAGGTGTGGCAAGGAGGGGAGAGAGAAGCTCGACCTCCCTCTGTGCTTCTGCAGTGAAAATGGAGAGACTGGGAAGGAGTGTGTGCGCCCGCCTCTCCCACAGGAGGGAGAGTGGAGGCCTAGGAGCGGCCTAGGACTGGAGGCACGACCCATTTAATCCACCTTGAGGCCCAGCCAGCACAGCCCACCTCTCCTCTCCAGGCCAGGGCCCCACACACGTTCCGCCTGACAGCCAGCCAAGCTCTGCAGTGCCCCGCCCTCCACCTGCCAGGGAGGCTCCAGGCATCATACCTGCCACCACAGGGTAGGTCTGGTGAGTCGACAGGTTGCGCCCCAAGGGCGTGTTGGAAGGGGTCAGGGTGGCCTTCCCGTCGTCCAGGCTGCTGTTGAGCAAGGGCAGCGGGTAGAGGCCCTGGGGAGCAAAGAGAAGTCAGCGCACAGAGATGATCCGACAAGCCGACCTTCCTGCAGACCTTGAGCCTGTCCTAGGGCTTAGCAGCCCTAATCTCCCCAGGAGATTTCCTCATCGTCCCCTTCTTCCTTTACGTTCTCAACTCCACTCAGCACTTTTCGTTCATGCTCATTGTCCTCCTGCATCCCTGGAATTCAAGGCCAGCTGGTGGCATGGGTGCTCCGGTGTGGGATAGAGGGTCTCAGCCGGAGGACCACACCCTGGCTAGATGGCTGGTCGGCTTCCTGGTTTCACCACACTGTTGTGACCCACAGAATACAGGACGGTGCCAAGGACTGGAGCAGTCTCCAACCGGACTGTTCGGGTCCTTCCATCTGTGATTCTTCCCCAGATAGGGAACCCAGGCACAGAGGTTTAAGAAACTTGTCCCACTTCCATATGGACCAAAGATAGGATTCAGACTTGAGGGATCAGAATGCCTCTGCTGTCAACCACTGTCCCAAACTGGGTGACCTAAGGACCACTTCTTACATTTGCAAAGAGCTTACATCAGAGCTTTGCCTCTGTTGTCCTAGTAGAGTCCCCCAGCAGCCCAGTGACATGGGTGAGTAATATTATGTCTGTTATTGATTTTATACGTGGAGCCTGGAACTCAGAGAGGTAAATGGCCTAGTTTTGTGTAATGAAACTGAGACTAAACCCAAGATTTCGGCTGTGGACCCAGGTGCTTTACCCATCACGTGGATTTCTTCTTTTCTCTCTCCACATCCAAACAAATAGAAGTGTGCAAGTTCAGCTTGAAAATGGTATTTAGAGTTTTTTTGTTGGAAACACTCTTTATCAAGTACCTGGGGGTCTTCATCAATAAGACCTCATTTTAAATGCCTCGTGGCCTCCCCTTGCCAGGAGCACAGCTGTGACCTTAGGTACTCCTTCTGAAAAGAACTTGTTTAACTAAAGGCAAGTGTGCCTCATCCTCACCATGGCCTCCTCCCACCGGGGAAGCAGATAGCACAGAAAAAAGAACACATCCATTCCCCACATACCTTCACACACGTCACATACCTGCTACATGAGATATGCAAAGCTGAATTCAGGGAATGCTCAGTGGTTACATAACAGTGCCACTAAAGGCAATTGTTTTCAGTGATTTCCATCAAGCTGGGTTCTGCAAAGATCCATAGCACTTTCCAGTTGCATGCTGGGCACTTTTGGAAGCTGCAGTCAATTCTGGAGGCCACCAGGGCACCATTAGCACATAGCAGCAATTACTGACTAAATGGTGCTCTGGTTCCATGCCTTCCAAGGGGGCTCACTTAGAGGCAGGGTGGAGTTGCTTAGGGCCTTTTTTTTTTTTTTGAGACGGAGTTTCGCTCTTGTTGCCCAAGCTAGAGTGCAATGGCGCGATCTTGGCTCACTGCAACCTCTGCCTCCCGGGTTCAAGTGATTCCCCTGCCTCAGCCCGAGTAGCAGGGACTACAGGCGTGTGCTACCATACCAGGCTAATTTTTTATATCTTTAGTAGAGATGGGGGTTTCACCATGTTTGCCAGGCTAGTCTTAAACTCCTGACGTTGTAATCCGCCTGGCTCGACCTCCCAAAGTGCTGGGATTACAGGCGTGAGCCACCACACCTGGCCAGGGTCTAGGTTACTGAAATTGAACAAAACATATAATTTCTAGAGAGTGTAAGAAAAGTTTAAAATGCTTTATGGATGTGTTGTTTTGACAGCAAAATATCTACTCAGAATCCTGTAGCTATTTCAAAATTCAAGTAACTTAAAAATACCTATATAGTCAAAATATTTTGGTGATTTTGTATTCAATAGCTGAAACTTCCCAGTGATTATTGGACTTTTTTTTTTTTTTTTTTTTTTTAGCTGGAATTGAACTTGAATTGGGGCAGAGCAGCACGATGCTTCAGAACTTCAGCAAGTCTGAGCCCTGGTTCTGCAATGACTTGCCAGGTAGCTTTAGTCTGCTTGACTGCTCTGAAGCTTAATTTTCTCACCTGTATGGGAGTCATAGACTCTATGAGGCTGATGTAAGCATTACATGAAATTTTATATACTTATACATAACGTGCTTAGCACCGAATACTTGGTGACAACAGATGCCCAGTGAGAGTTATCATAGATATTATTTCAGAATCATGTGAAGAGTCAGAAGCCACCAAATTCTTCATTTCTGTCAGTAAGCCGATATTCATATTCTGTTGATGTTTTTTGATGCATTTGTAAAATAGGGAAATAAAAGCTGTATGACTTCTAGCTATGTCTGGTCATGAAATAGCAACCAGGAATAACATGATGTTTCTGTTGAACACTTCCCCCTGCCCTTTGTTGTTGTTGTTGTTTTTTTTTTTTTCAGAGGGAGCCTTGCTGTGTCACCCAGGCTGGAGTGCAGTGGCACAATCTTGGCTTACTGCAACCTCTGCCTCCCAGGTTCAAGTGATTCTCCTGCCTCAGCCTCCTGAGTAGCTAGGATTACAGGTGCATGCCACCAGTTCTGGCTAATTTTTGTATTTTTAGTAGATATGTGATATTGCCATGTTGGCCAGGCTGGTCTCAAACTCCTGACCTCAGGTGACCCGTTCACCTCAGCCTCCCAAAGTACTGGGACTACAGGTGTGGGCCACCGTGCCTGGTCCCCCACTTGTTGATTTTACAGAAAAGATGGCTGTGTTACAACCTGTCCTAAGGTCAGGTATGAGTACTTGTGCTTCATTCTTGGCTCCCCAAGCCAGCGGGCCTTCCTATGCCCAGGTGAGAGAGCACGGAGTGTCACTTTGGCAGCACAGTCAGTTACCAGAGGTGGGAAAAGCAAAGGCCAGGCAGGACATGAGGGGCCCTTGCACTGGCTGGTTCTCCCTGCCCTTCACCACCCTCCAGGTGAATGACTGGGTGAGTAATGATTTACTGAGGAGGTAATGAATAATTTATGGACACTGCTGGACCTCAGTCTCCTCATCTGAAAGATGAGTGGTTGGAGAAGTTCAATGGTATTCAAATGCTTTTTTTTTTCAGTCTTCAAATACGTATTTACGTAGAGGCACCATATCTGAAGCAGGTGACAGTGGACCAGTCTGAATGAAATGAGGATTGGCAGGCCTGAGCTCCAAAACCTTCTGGTTGCCCGAGCCCTCCTTGTCTTGCTTGGCCTTGGATTATCTCCACACAAATGGTGAAACTGGATGAGGTGGTCACAGAGGTCTCTGCAAGCTCAAAGACTTTCTCATTCCAGGATCCCCCCTGTTCATATGCCAGCGTGACATGGGAGTGCTCTGTAGTCAAGCAGGGTCCTTTGGAGGGCTTAGGGATGGAGTCAGGAAATGGCTCTGGGACTCAGTGGGTGTCCAGAGTCTTATCAGCAGGGTTTCTTTACTTTCACTGGGTGGCTGGTGCCTGTACACTGAGTTTTGCAGGCTTGCTCTCACAGAGCGAGCTTCCTGCAGGCTCCCCACTGCAACCCCCTTTCCTTCCTGGAGCTGTGTGCTGACTGGTAGGTGAGCACCCAGGCCCTCTCCCCATGGCTGCTGACGGCCAGCTTTCTCTGCACCCTCGTGGTTGCCACAGTCAAAGCTGATAAAATTGCTGATGCAGATTGCCTGCCCAGCTGCGAGTGCTGGCATGGGACCAGCAGCCCAGACGGTCACTGGAAGTGGTTGGGCTGATTATTGGCATCATCTCCATTGTCCTACTCAGTTCTTAAAGGCATATGGGCTTGCCTCACTCCTACAGCAAATGACGGCATGGGCAAAGAGGGGCAACAGACACCACCCTGAAGACACTCCTCATCTGGTTGACTTGGTGGGGTTAAGGGAAAAAGATGTGATGACTAGGGACTGAGAGCTCGGTGGTTCTGCCAGAGCTGCAGAGTCTTTGTTGGCCTCGGGGTGGGACCTCTCACATCTCTGTCAGCTTGTCACAGATGCCAACCTGTTATGATTCATTTCACCTGTCCTGAGCACTAGCAAGAAAAATTCCCTGTAGCTTGTGATGTATTATTCTGAATTTCTCAACTCATTCATTCGTTCATTCATTCACTATACCATTACTCTCTATTATAAGGGGGGCACAATGGTAGGTGCTGGGAATAAAAACGACGTTTCATGTTTCATGAGGCTTCTCTGTCCTTAAGGAGTCCGCATGTCTTTGTACCTCTCTGTCTGCCACATTATTAAGCTACACTGTGAGAAGCTACTGAGAGCGGCATGTGGGACATGCAGAAGGACAAGAGGTGGGAGAGATGATTCATGTCGGAGAGGCAGGGAAGCACTCACGGAGAGGGTGATGTTTGAGCCGAGTCATGAAGGCTAGTGGTATTTTTCCATGCAGAGAAGTGGGAGGAAAGGCATTCTGTGTGGAGGGCACACGGTGTGCAAGGGCAGAGAGATGTGAGCGAGGGTGGCGTGCTTGCGGCCATGAGTAATGCAAGAGCATGGGGTGTGCAGGATGAGTGGCCAAAGGCGGGGCTAGGAAGTGGTGGCTGAGGTCATTATGTGAAGGCTTTGTGCTACTGCTTCAGAGTTGTGGAACCCGACCTCGAGGTCTGGGGAAGATGCTGATGGCAAGGGATGGCATCATCAGGTTGTGCTGCCATCCCTGAAAGGCCCAGGCTCAAAGGTTTTGGGTTAAGTAAGCCAGGAGGGTTAGAAAGAGAGGAAGATGCCAGGGCATCTGGTAAGATAAAGCATGTGTCAGGCTTGGAGTTGCATGAGGCAGGTGCCCTGAGCCCATTGATGCAACTTCCAGCTGCTTTGGTGGCGGAGCGCAGGCACATTTGGAGAGCACACCTTGCTCTGGCCCCTGCCCACTCTGTTCACCTCCCAGGGCCCAGCTTCTCACCTGCTCGCCTTTGGTGTGGCTGGGGGAGGCATAGGCCTCCGGGTAGTGCTGCCGCTCAAATGGGCACTCGAGTGGCTCGAGGTGGTGCTGGCTGAAGGCGTCTGTGCGAAGGTGCTTTCGGGGTCCGCTGCTGCTGCTCTGTGAGTCGATGCTCAGCCGGCAGCTATCCTGATCACCTGGTACCCCCCAGTCAGGAAGAAAGCTTTTAGGGGACATATCTACTCATGCCTTAGGCCAAAGTAGAGGACTGACTCCAAGCCGACTCACTGTGGAGGGAGAAAAAGGGCCAGCCACCTGGGCCCAGGAGCCTTGGCCAACTGACAGACAGGACATGTGACAGTCACATGCCGAGCTCCTACAGAGTCCCATGTCATAAGTGGAAAGTCTTCTGTCCCCATCAAAGCCTGAGCAAACTGCCCTTGTGCACCCCCGCTGCCCCCCTGTCCCAGCACTCACTGTCATCCATTTTCCTCTTGTCACTGCCAGGCTGAGCGATGCCCAGGAGCCCATTGATGGAGTAGGTGGAGCCCAGGGAATCCGACTGGGGTGACTCTGGAGGAGTTACAGCTGAGCTGGGGACTGCAGCGGGGGAGAGGGAGAGAGTCAGGGGTGGGACACTCCTCAGTCCTGGGTGACTCTGGGGGAGTTACAGCTGAGCTGGGGACTGCAGTGGGGAGAGGGAGAGAGTCAGGGGTGGGAGTGACACCCCTCACAGGCCTGGGGTGACTCCAGGGTGACTGCGGGGGGTACGGGGAGAGGGTCAGGGTGCAGGAGTGACACCCCTCACAGCCCCTGCTGACACTGTGGAGGAGGCAGCAAGCCGAGCCGTGGACTGAGCCCCAAAGGGGCTCAGGTCCTTCCTCCAGGGGGCCTGCTGGTGGGAGGGATTCTTGGAGTCAGAGCTGTCTCAAATGTTTGCACCTCTCCATAGTTCAGTGAATCTGCCCTGGGAACAGGCCAGATTTTGTCATAGTGGCACAGCTCCGTCCACACATGGGTTTGTGAATAGTACTGTGCACAGCTGTGTCTGTGTGGGTGTGTCTGTGTGTGCCTCTGTGTATGTGTGGGCGCACTGAAGGATGTGTGGGTACAATGAAGGATATGTGTGCATCCAGGTCTCTCAGCACTCACTCAGCGTGTGTCCGGGGCTCAGGGACTTGGTGGCCACGCAGCTGTCCATAGGGAGGTTGAATGGTTGCTGCACTTTGGTCCGGATGATTCTGTGATGAAGAGAAGAAAGGCCATGAGAGAGAAGAGGAGGAAAGAGAACTCACGGCTGCCCCAGACCCAGTTGCCTTTTTGACACTCCTTTGGGTATCTCAAAGGCACTTGAAACTCAACTGTTCACAGTAAAGTCCATGACCCTACTCTGCACGCCTAGTCCTCCCCAGTTGTCCGTATTTCATGATTGGTACCATCAGTCGCTCAAGGCCAAAACAGAGATGGGGCTTAACATCTGCTTCCCTCTCTTTCCAATCAAACCCATCATCGAGTTCTGTGTTTTGACCTTGTGAACCTCGCCAGTGTTGACCCCTCTCTTCTTCTCTCCATCAGCACCTTAGTGCATGTCACCACCACTGTTCCACGGTCACTCACTGGCCCACGCCCATCCCCTCTTGATCCTTTCTAAGTGATTCTCCCTACTGCTGCCACAGTGGACTTTCTGAAATGCAAGTTGACCACCTGCTTAAAATCTGCCAACAGTTTCCCATTGCTTTATGACCAAACGCAAGAAGGTATAACACAGCTCCCAGCCTCTGAAAGGCCACCTCTGCTGACATCTTCAACTTCAGCCTATCTTATGCTCCCCTGCTCTCTATCTACTGGTTTTCTTTTCTTTCTGTTTTTTCTTCTTCTTCTTCTTTTTTTTTTTTTTTTTTTTTTTTTTGAGATGGAGTCTCACTGTTGTCACCCAGGCTGGAGTGCAGTGGCGTGATCTCAGCTCACTGCAACCTCTGCCTCCCAGGTTCAAGCGATTATCCTGTCTCAGCCTCCCAAGTAGCTGGGGTTACAGGCACTCACCACCACACCCAGTTAATTTTTGCATTTTTAGAAGAGATGGAGTTTCACCATGTTGGCCAGATTGGTCTCAAACACCTGACCTCAGGTGATCCACCTGCCTTGGCCTCCCAAAGTGCTGGGATTACAGACATGAGCCACTGCACCTGGCCTATCTACTGGTTTTCTTTTGATCCTATTAGCCACAGGGCCTTTGCATAGCTGTTTAAACTCTTTTCACCTAGTTCTCTTATTTTTTCTTACTCAGGGGAAGACTCATGACCTTCATAAACCAAATAATCCTACGCTGGCTTGCATATCCTCATGTTCCTTTTCTTAGCAGGACTTACAGCTGTATTTTTACAATATTTTTTGTAGGTAGTTGATTAATATCTGTGATCTCATTAAACTGTAAGCTCCGCAAAGATGGGTTTTGTGTGTCCCCAGGACCTCGCACAAGATGAATGAGTGAATTATGTGCGAATGAATTAATGAACAAGCGAGTAAGTAAATGATTGATTGAGGCAGTGAGTGAATCACTGAGGGACTAAAAAAATAAGTGAATGCTTGAATGTGGGCCGGGTTAGGGGTCTGGTGGCTTAGAAAAGGATCAACTCGTGAATATTCTTTTATTGAATGAAAGAGGATGTGGTGTTTGAGGAAGGAAACTGTAGATAGCACACTATGGCTTGGGGCCAGGGGGAGGGTGCCCCACAGCATGGGGCAAGGCAGGAGGCAGGGAGGTATGGTATCTGCCTGGAGCCAGGTGTGCTCCCTGCCTGATTCTTCAGCATCAGGCCCCTTCCCGGCCTCTGCTCTACCCAAGCCAGTTCTTTCTTGTTTCTTTCCTGATTTCCCCAAAGCCCAGGGGCCCCAGCCTGATGCCAGAGGCTGCTTTCTCTCTTACCTATTAATGGAACTGACACTGGGCACAGTGTCATTGTCACAGACGCCCTCAGCCAGGAGCCGGTCTCGGATCTCCCAGGCAAACATGGTAGGGTTCTGGCGTTTGTAGTCCCCAATCTTCTCCACCACCTTGGGGGTGGCCACCTTGGGCTTGGAGCCCCCTATCACTCCAGGACGGATGCTGCCAGTCTCGTAGTACCTACTCCAATAGAGAACCCCAAAGAATTACCCAATAAGCAGGTGGGGTCTTTAGACAGTGACTTAGCCAGAGCCTCCCTCCTCTCTAAGGCCTCTGGGGAGGGGTATGAGAGTGAAACGTGCCCCCAAGGCTGTCCTCAAATGCTTGATATGCATGGAACTATCTGTTTCCCTCGCATGGGTAGGTTCATGCTACTGCCAACCCAGCACCCTCCGCTAAAGGCCTCACCTTGGCTTCTCTCTCTCTCTTCCCTCTGACCAGTCTCTTGTGTCCTAGCACCTGCAACAGCCATCATATGGGACACAAAAGATTTCCCTTATAAGAAAGGAAATCTTGGTGTGCCTGATGTGTGAATGACAGGGGCACAGCAGTTTGCTCTATCCAGCTTCTCTTGGCTAAAGCACGACCTTTTTTTTTTTTTTTTTTGAGACAGGGTCTCACTCTGTCACCCAGGCTGGAGTGCATGGGACAATCTTGGCTCACTTCAAACTCTGCCTCCTGGGTTCAAGCGATTCTCCTGCCTTAGCTTCCCGAGTAGCTGGGATTACAAGTGCCTGCCACCACACCCGGCTAATTTTTGTATTTTTAGTAGAGACGGGTTTCACTGAGTTGGCCTGGCTGGTCTTAAACTCCTGACCTCAAGTGAAACGCCCGCCTTTGGCCTCCCAAAGAGCTGGGATTACAGGCATCAGCCACCAGCCAATGACTGTTTTCTTCGGCCACTTAGAAAGCTAGCTGAGGTCATTGGACCCTCTGCTCTATCTTGCTGGTTCACCTTTGCTCCCTGCCCTGTCCAAGCTTGAGGCATATCCCTCACCCCCCCGGTCGCTAGTTTTCTATCAGGTTTTAGCAGGTTCAAGTTGAAGCTTCTCCTCATGGACTCTGGAATCCTGACCTTGCTTGGATCCCCAGCCAGGTCTAGCTTGTTAAGCTGAGCCTCCTCTTCTGGGGCCTCCACCCTTCCCCTCCCTTTATCCTCCAAGTAGTTGCTTTGGCAGATCAACGGCCTATGTCAGCATATCCTCCTCTTCTTGTTGTAGAAACTGTCTGCTCTCATCTGCATGAAAAAGAATCTGGCTCTTTAAAACTCCATTCATCTGTTGCTTCCATCCGAGACTCATCTCCTCTGGGACACCACAGCCCATCACAGGAACCCCCTCTCCCAAGCCCAGCAAAGCATCACACCTTTCCCTAACTACTTCAGGAAGGGAGCCAGGGTTTTCACGGTTCAGAGAACAGTCCAGGTCCCTTTGCCTTGTCCAGGCCTCCTCCTAAATCCACCTAAGGGTCAGAGCAGGGGGACAGGCACGTGCACACAGAGCTGACTGGAAGCTCTGGCACAGAGGCGTTTTTAATGGAAGTGGCTTTGCAGACTGGAATCTGTGACTGTGTCAGCTCAGAAGCAGGCCTTTGCTGCTCCTGGTCTCTCCTGAACCTTTGGTTCAGTGGTTCTCAACCCTGGCTGCAGAGAAGTAGAGTCTCTGGCTGGGGACGGACGGGTTGGGGAGTTATAAACCAAAATTTGGGCCTATTTCCTTTAAGTTCTGATTTAATTGGTCTGGGCTGGGGCATAAACAGTATTGCTATTTTTAGAATCAGCCTTCCTCAGGTGACGCTCATGTGCTGCCAGGGCTACGAAGCGCTGATCTGGGGTCTTGGGGAATTATGGTTTGAGAAGCATAAACTCAGATGTCCCTCTTTTAGGGGTTAGACCTTGGGAGCTCATCTGACTGTCTGTCCCCTCCCTAGTGGCCCAATTTCCCTAGGTCTCGGTAGGAGGAGGACCTTTGGGGAAGATTCTCCTGCCTTAGAAGAAGAGAAGCCTACAGCAAATGAGACATAGAGCAAAAGAGAAGAAGGGAGAGGGAGAAAGTAAAAGGATAAATGGACAAAGAAAGAACGAAGGGCAGAAAACAGTAGAAACATGGTGGCGGGGTGGAGGCCCAGAAGGACCACCATAACTGTTCAGGTCTCAGGACCAAAGCTGGACATTGGGAGCAAATCCCTATTCCCCGGGAGGGGAATTCTCCAGCTGCCCTGACGTCAGCTGGAGAGGTCAAGCCCTGCAGGGAAGGCAGCCCGCGGTGAATTTCGTGCTTACCTGCCGAGGATCTTGCTGACGCAGCCATGGCTGACGCGGAGCTGGCGAGAGATGTCACAGGGCCTCACACCCTGGTGGGCCAGGTCTACAATGCGCTGGCGGACCACTTCTGGCAGGGGTCTGCCGTTCACAAAGGCCCCTCCCAGCTGGTTCAGCCCTCCATGGCCTAAGGAGACAATATTCCCAGGGACAGTTGTCAGGGCCAGGCAGGAGTTTGGGTGGGGATTAGCTATGAGAGCAGGTGTGGGGGTGTGTGTGTGTGTGTGTTTGACTGTGACCACGAAATCCCACGGCCAGGCCCTGTGGGCCCCTCTGCAGTTCTTTCTCCCAGAATGCTGGCACAAATGGTATGTGATGGTCATCCCCCACGATGGGATGGTGTCACAGGAGCACCTTGGGCTTGGGGACTCTCCAGGCAGACTCAGCCCTTCACTCCAATTCACAATCCCCTATTTTCTTCCCTCCCTCTGAAAAGTGTGTAAGGAGTTGAGGATGTGGGGTCTTCCCATGCCAATACTGAGCCGTTTGACCTTCAGAAAAACCCCTTCTCTTCTCAGAGTCTCTTTTCCTTTTGTAAAATGAGGGCACAGGTGATTTTCACCTTTCTCCTTCTCCTCATGGAACCAGATTTTAAAATACTACCCCATTGAGAAAAACAAATACAAAAGAATAAAAGTAGAACCTCTCTGGTAGAGCTTGGGCAGAGAAGACCTGAGCCCTATCTGTGGACTTCTGGCCTAAATGACCCCCAAGATCCCTTCTTTCTCTAACAGGCCAGAGCACCAGGGACCTGCTGCAGGGTCCTCACAGGCATAGATAGCACTGGGTTCCAGGATGGACATGGGGGCTACAGGCCACTGTGGAAATCTGTCCATGTCATGGATGGATATGTGTACACATTCCCTTAGCTGCTTTCCTGACTTGGCCTCTGCTCTCTGGCCCCAGCCTATGTTTCATTCTGAGCCCATCTATCCAGTCAAATCCATATGAATTGAGTGCCAACTATGTGCCAGGCACTATACAGGTCCCTGACGATGCCAAGGTGAATAAGGCAGACATGATCCCTATTCTTCCCTCATGGGGTTAATTACAGTGAGGTCCCAGACCAGCAAACAACCAGTTAACATATTTTGTGACCACTTTTGGGACTGGTGACATGCAGAGAGTTATGGGAACCACTGGAGGGGAACTTGACTTGGCTCAAGGAAACACAGAAGGGTTCCTGAGGAGGTCTAAGCTGAGACTGAAGATAAACAGGTACTGGCCAAGTGAGGGAGAGAGGAGAGAAAACTGTTCCAGGCAGTGGGAACAGAATGTGCAAAGACTCAGAGGCAAGAGGATACTTGTCTGTTAGATTTTCCAACATATTCAACTCTATAGTCCCTAGAACCATTTTGGGCTAATTTCAGGGCCGAGATTTCTATTTTTCTCATGAGGAGACTGGGGCTCAGAGAGTTGTAGTGATCTGATTTATATGTGTTGTTTAACTCAGCTTATATGAGGAGGAGCTTGGATCCAACCAGAATTTAAGGCTCAGATCAGGGCTGCTCCTTGAGGGGAGCCCTGTTCTGGGGCTAGAGCTACACCTGGACGCTTGTCATTGGCATTGCTATTTTGTGCTGAACATGCCATGGTCTTTTCACAACGGGCAGGATTTGGTGATATGACTGGGAGGGTAGAGCCCTGGGGTGTAGGAGTCAGGGAGCTGACAGGTAAGAAGGAAGAGCCAACCCCAGGCTTCTGTGTGAACCAGTTAAAGACTATTTATGGCCGAGGGTGGGAAGTGCCTTTGCTGGGCACACAGTGCCCATTATCACCCACTGACTTAGCACATTCAGAACTGCCTTGCAATGTCTCCTCAGGGGCCCAAGCTGTCTTCAGCAGAACACTGAATTTCCCTCTAATAAAGGGGGTGGGGGCTGGGCATGCTGGCTGACATCTGTAATCCCAGCACTTTGGGAGGCTGAGGCGGGTGGATCACCTGAGGTCGGGGGTTCGAGACCAGCCTAACCAACATGGTGAAATCCTGTCTACTGAAAATACTAATACTACTACTACTACTAATAAAAACTAGCTGGGCATGGTGATACATGCCTGTAATCCCAGCTACTCGGAGGCTGAGGCAGTAGAATCGCTTGAACCCCGAGGTGGAGGTTGTGGTGAGCCGAGATCGCATCATTTCACTCCAGCCTGGGCAACAAGAGTGAAACTCCGTCTCAAAAAAAAGGAGGGTGGGGGTGCTCTAAGCCTCTACCCTGGGCAATAAGTCAGGAGGAAAAGCCCTCTGGCCAAACACCCAGCAAGAAAGATGCAATGATCCATCTTCCTGGTGGAGACAACGGGTGAGCTTGGGTACAGCTTCCACCTGTGCCCATCCAGGCAAGCCTTCCTAGTGACTGCTTCTCCACTGGGGCTGGAAGAGTGCTTGGAGGGCCTTTAGGAGAGCCCAGATGGTGGGCAGAGCGGCCTTTGCCCAGTCCTAAGCCCATTCCTCTGGTCTTCACTGGCCAGAGTGCCATTTATGAATTGCTGCAGCCGTTTGCCCTCACTGCATCATTGTTGCCTTCCGGTTCTTTTGGGTCCAGGCACTGAACACAAGGGGGCGCCAGACAGCCACCCAAACACAGACAAGAGTCCAGCTTTGTCCTTATTTTCCAGAACTTTCCCTGCTGTATCCACTTAAACTTAGGTGTTTGTGCTGGGACCTCTACATCTGGAAGCGAGGTTTCTTAGAGGTGAGGGTTCTTCACCTCTACAAATGTGAAGCAGGTTTAAACAAATTCCATTTTGGGGTGGCATGAATTGGGTATTGTGCCTTAAAAAAATGACGCTGTAAGCTGTGTGGGCCATTGCCCTTAATTATTATGAAGGACTGACTCACATCCTTAGAAACCCAAACCCTGAGAGGTTATTTACCGTTATCAGCAAGCATTGTAGTGCTGGGAAAGATGCATTCACATTTCTGGCCCCTAAACTGAATTCTCTGGTGCTTGTTTTATTTGACTGCCTTCTGAATGACTTTGTGTTACTGTAGAAAGAGTCTTGGGCCTGATCCCTTCCTTGACACTGCCTGTTTTAGTCTTATCATTCGAGAAAGTGGGTTTTATTTTTTCAACCTTAGTGTTTTTATCTATCGAATGGAGCTTAACAAAACTTATGCCTGCTGCTGACTTAAACTCCTATAAGAAGATAGGGGGGCTGGGCATGGTGACTCATGCCTGTAATCTCAGCACTTTGGGAGGCTGAGGTGGGCAGATCACGAGGTCAGGAGATCGAGACCATCCTGGCTAACACAGTGAAACCCTGTCTCTACTAAAAATACAAAAAATGAGCTGGGTGTGGTGGCGGGCACCTGTAGTCCCAGCTACTCCAGAGGCTGAGGCAGGAAAATGGGGTGAACCCACAAGGCGGAGCTTGCAGTAAGCCGAGATCGTGCCACTGCACTCCAGCCTGGGCGACAGAGCAAGACTCCATCTCAAAAAAAAAAAAAAAAAAAAAAAGAAGAAGAAGAAGATAGGGGGATCAGGATGGAGAAGTATTTATTTAGATAAACAAATCTTGCTATAAATGTAATGTTTTTCTAATTTGTAATATTCCCATGGTTGAATGTTATGACCCAAGCTTGGGACTAGGTATAGGAAGTGTTTTCTCAAACTTCAGTGTGCATCAGCATCACTTGGCAGTGAGGCTTATTAAAATACAGACTACTGAGCACAATGCCCTAAGTTTCTGAATCAGTAGGTCTGGGATTGAACTAAGATAAATTATGTTTCTAAGAAGTTTCCACATGGTGTTAATGCTGCTAGGCCAGGGACACACTTTGAAAACCACTGGTTTAGTCCAGGTGATGGCTGGTAAATTAAACATAAGAGAATAACTCTTCATACTCCTCCGACATTCTTCTAAGAATAATAATGATAGTTTGTATATTATGGTTTTCATTTCTTTTCAACTCAAGACATTGACCAAGTGCCTATCATGACTCAGGTACAAAGCACTGGGAATACAACCTTGAACAAGACAAGAATCCTGGCCTTCAAGGAACTTCGAACCTTTTGGGGGATATGATAAGATACATTAGGAATCACCATGTTAATGGTGACCTTTCTTGAAGGATATGAGTCCAGGTGCTCGCGGAGCCCATAAGTGGTTAGAGGGAAGCTGCAAGGAAGAGTATCTAGGAGGTAACTAGGCAAAGAATTTTCCTCAGGGGGAAGAAAATCCATGCGTAAAGTCTTGGTGCCTTCAAGAAATTGAAAGACATTTAGTGTGGCTGTAGGACAGGCAGGAAAGAGAATCTGGAAAGAGCCTGCTGGCTGCGGATGGAGATGGCCCCTATGGTTTGAGGTTTTGAGCTGAGTCCCTGTAATGGAAAGGCTTTCGTCTTTCCTGTGTCCGGTGTGGGGGAGTGGACTCTTCTGGGTGAGTCACCACCAAATGCCCAGAGGTGGGTGCAGTCTTCCTTCCTGCACTGGGGTGGGGGGACGATTGGTGCCCACTGTGCTGACCACCTTTTCATGCTGCTGCAGATGGGGTGGGCTTTGAGGCCGGAAGCCAAAAATGAGTAGGAGCCTCCTGGTTGGGCGGGAAGTGGGGTGAGGGGGGAAGGTGAGACCCAGGAAGAGGTTTGAAGCCTCATAAGCGGACTCTTTGTATGTCTGAAAGATTGTGAGTGGGGAGGTGGGGTGGGTATGGGGGAGGAAGACAAGACCGCCTGGCCGGATGCAAGCAGGTTCCTGAGTGGAAGGTACTCAGACAGGAAATGCAAGCTTTCCTGTGGTCAGAGAGGACTTATCTTACAGTAAAGGGATTGGAGCTCAGCAAAGTTCTAGGTGAAGCTTGCTGTCCAGAAACGTATCCTTTTGAAAAGTGACCATTCAGGGAGGTCTTAGGACTTTGTTGGTAATTTCTTCATCCTTTATAGAGCTCCGAGTAGTTGGGATGGCAGAAAGAAAAGAGACAGTCATTGACCAAAATTCTTGTTACATGCACCAATATCCAAACCCTTAAGATGTGGAAATCCTTTCCCCATGTCCCTATAGTCCTTTGCACAAATTCCTATGATAGCACTGACCACGTTGAACAGCAGCTTTCTCTATTTGGGTTTCTTTATGAGTTACTCAAAGGCAGAGGCCCTGTCTTTGTCTACTGTAATTAGTGTTTTCG